CTCAAACTCTCTGCCACTTCCCATCTCCCACGTCTACTCAGTGAATATTTTATTATGTTATTCAGTTCTAGATTTTTCTTTTATTTCTGTTGGTGTGGTGTGTTTATGTTTATGTGTGCGTGCACCCGTGTGCTTGCGCATTCACACTCATGCACAAGAGCATATGTGAACACAGAAGCTAGTGGTTGATATCTTTCTTAGTTGCTATTTACCTTATTTTTGAGATAGGGTCTCTTACTGAACCTGGAGTTCACCAGCTTATCTAGGCTGGCTGTGATCTAGCTATTGCTTTCCCAGTGCTGGGATTACAGATATGTGCCTAGCCTCTGTCCGTCCGTTCATCCATCCATCCATCCATCCATCCACTTATTTTATGAATGCCAGAGATCCAGACTCACTTCCTAATACTTGTGTGGCAAGCATTTTGTGCTTATTCTAAATATCTTTTTTATGTGTCTGGTTATGTATGTGATATAGTTGGTGTATACGTGTGCAAATATGTGTTTGAAGGCCAGAGGTTGATGTCAGATATTTCTTCTTCACCTTATTTTTTGAGATGACATCGCTCACTGATCATATTATACATTATAGAGTCTGGATTTTTCTCAGTTTTTGTTGTGATAATTAAAATTAGCCTCTCTGATATTTTATGATCATTCAGAATTGATTAGGGTTCACTCTTGGTTATATATTCAAAAAACTGAGAAGGACCCTCTGCATTGTTTGTATTAAATTTCCTTTGTGTGTGTTATGTGTGAGCATACATCATGAACCTGGAACTCACTGATTTGACTGTTCCTGCTGGCCAGAAAGCCCCAGGAATAATCTGATTCCTCCTCAGGCTAAGATTTCCGTTCTGCACCATGTTCTGGACCTCTTAACTCTGGTCCTGTTTCATGAAAAGCACTTTAGTTAGCTGATTCCCCTGCCCCTGCACTGTATTTCAAAACTGCATCCTACAGATCTTTTCAAGTCCTGGTTTTTAGGCTCTGTCTGGACTTGTCTTAGATAGGATCTTGTTTGAGGACAAGGTCCTTAAATCTGATTGGGCCTTTTCTAGTGTTTCAGCCTGAGGTTTGATATGTAAGATCTTTCCAGTCTGTCACAGCCAGAATTCCAAAGGGCCTGCTTTCTGGTGGTGGTTTCCCTTCCAGTCTTGCGTCGCAGGCCTCAGGTGAGCCTTGTGCAGTGATGTGTTCCCTGCACCTGAGAGGTTTGTTGTTGCCCTTGCCTAAAGGCTTATATGGTTGCTGGCTGCCTTTCCTCTAGTGCTCCACCTCAAGTCCCTACTACTTTAGTATTTGTGGACTCAGATTTGCTTGTGCTCAGTTTTTCCCTCTGTAGTTAGGAAATTGTTCCTAAAGGATTGGAAATGAGCATAGTGCTCACTTTAGGAATGCCTTTCTTAGGGGTTGTTGTTTTGAATAAGTGAGTGGTCCAGAAAGACTACTCGGAGGAGGTAGCTGTTGAGCTGACAGCCTGCCTGGAAGGAGGAGATGTGATGCTCTGTAAATTCTAAGGTCATTCTGTACAGATACAGGGGGCCTATGTACAGGATGAGAGTCTAAGGTGGGAACCAGGCCTTTGCTGAAGGGACACCAGGAAGGCCAGGTGGCCTGGGCCTTGGGGATGGACAGATCATTGCAGGATGGATGACAGGGGTGAGGGGGGTAGAGGCTTGATCTTAGGACTCCCATGACGCTTGGCAAGGAAACTAAGAATTTTCTTCTGTATTTTATGTATTCTTTGGTTAAAGTACAGTGAAAGTTTTATCAGTATTTTAGCTGTTTAGCTGAGGGGATACATATAACAAATGTGTACTTACATAAATATTCAAGTGCTATATTAATAGTATAGGAACATTAAATTTATTAAGGGACCTTAGGGGATTTCTTATTCTTGGAAAATGACATTTAAGTTGAAACTTGGACTATGAATTGACTATGTGGAAGAGTATATTATAATCCAGTAGAGGAGTATCATGAGTCTAGAAATGAAGTATGAAGACTGAAGGAAATCTTGGTTTGGTTTACAGAGGGGAGATTTGTACCAAATGACAGTCAGAGATGGGCAGTGAGTAGAGTTTGTAAGACTCATTTTAAGGAGAGTAATGAGTAGATTTAGAGATATATTTAGTTGTCTCTTGGAGGTTGGATTAGTTTTGGGGAGGGCAGCAAGTGTGTTAATGAAGACCAATATGATTTAAATATGATATAAATGAGATAAAAGATAGTGAGAGGAACAGGTATTAAAGGCCGAGGGAAAGGATGTATGTAAGGGTGGCACCCGATTTGTGTCTTAGCAATAATAAGTGTCTGGTGATGTTAGTATATAGCCGCTGGTTGGGTGAAAGTCAAGTGTTCTGCATAAGTTCCTGTTGGAATGTTTTAAACTGTTTTTACCTTAGTAGCAAACACCCATAGTGCTTGCTTATGTGCCACACTACTTAAGCACATTTAATACTCATGACAACCTTCTCAGGGAGACATGTGGTTGCCATTTACAGATGAGAATAGACTCAGGGAAGATCTGACGTGGATATGGGAATTTTACTTTAACCTCCGATTAAGTTTGGAAACTTAATCACATAATTTACATATCACTCATCTGATCTTTCCTAATGATTTCTTAACTTGGGATTTTTAACTGTCTATCTGTCCAGCAAAGCTAACTTTTGTGAATTCAAATATCCTAACGGGCTGCAGCCAAATGTTACTGAAAAAGGAAATGATAATACACTCTTGAATTAAATGTTGATTGCTTTTACTTACAGAAGTTATTCAGATTCACTTGCTCTCTGTAGTGCATTATCACCATTCAAAGCACATTTTGAAATAATGTTGATTTGGCCATACAGTGTTAAAGATGACTTTTGATATGGCGGGGAGGCAAATCTGATATTAATTAATAGTCGGGTGGGGGGGTGGTGGCGGCTCACACCTTTAATCCCAGGTGAGGCAGAGGCAGAAAGATCTCTTTGAGTTCAAGGCCAGCCTGGTCTACTGAGTAAATTCTAGGACTGGCTCCATAGCTACTGAGAAATTCTGTCTCAAAACCCCCGCCCCCCCCCTCCAAAAAGAAAATAAAATTACTTTATATAGATAGAAATGCCGATCTGTGGATGGTGTTTATGTGGACAATGTGTTGTTTCATTGTTGACTAATCATGTTCTACAAAGTAGATGAACCCTTCTCATGAGAGAATGGAGAGTCATTGCACGGAACACAGTAGATATCCAGGTCTCCCTGGAGTGAAAATTAATACTTAGTGGACAGGCTCAAGGGAGTGTGTGAAATTACCGGGTGTGAGTGAGAATGGATCACGAAATACACAATGAAACCCACTTTAAGAGTTTATTAAGAGAAAGAGACACTTGAGCAGGCCTGAGGAAGTTGGTGCAGGGAGAGGGAGAAGAGAGAGATAAAGATGGAGGCGGGGGAAGAGTAGTTACCTCTTTAAGGGACTGAAAGAGAGTAGAGCCTTTAAAGGCTGCCTAGTGCATGCTCACAGGGGCTTACATAGCTGTAGCTGCCACGTGTATAGATCATGTAACCATGTAGCACTTACTTCATTCATTACCAGGGACTTGAGGTCCCAGGGTGAGCTTATTGGCTCACATGTTGCCCTGGAACCTGGAAGAGCCAGAGTTTGGGGTGGCTAGACATTTTGCCAAAGTGCTGGGCAATGGAAATCTAGCAGTGTGGCTTCAAATTTTTGATATAGGAACATTGATAAGGTCCCAATGTTAATTTAATTGCTACATGGGATCAAGAGGATAGTAGAGAAGCTGAGCAAGGAACATATCAGAAGTTATTAGATACTTTTAGGTTTTTTTTTCCTTGGTTTGTTTTTTGTTTTTTTGAGGCAGGGTTTCTCTGTAGCTTTGGTTCCTGTCCTGGAACTAGCTCTTGTAGACCAGACTGGCCTCGAATTTACAGAGATCCACCTGCCTCTGCCTCCCGAGTACTGGGATTAAGGCGTGCACCACCACTGCCTGGCCTGATACATTTAGTTTTTTTTTTTTAAACAACAGAAAACTAAACTTTGGGCAGTTGTCTCCATTTACATTTTCTGTAGTTATTTTTCCATCATTATTCAGTAAAACTTTCTGCAAAAGTTGCCTTTTCATGGTATGTGGTAGTGAACACAAGGATGGTCTGGTTGTTTATAGAAGCCGTGTATTCTTAAATTGTGGCTGTGGTGTTTGAGAAAAAGCCCCAGGCCGGGCGGTGGTGGCGCACGCCTTTAATCCCAGCACTTGGGAGGCAGAGGCAGGCGGATCTCTGTGAGTTCGAGACCAGCCTGGTCTACAAGAGCTAGTTCCAGGGCAGGCTCCAAAAACCACAGAGAAACCCTGTCTCGAAAAAGGAAAAAAAAAAAAAAAAAAAAAAAAAAAAAAAAAGGCCCCAGTGGACAATAGTACCTGGCTTCTCAGTGATTTTCCCCACTTAAAACAGTCCTGTGTACTTTGCTTTGGCAAGGGCTCTTATGTAAGTCTTAATTGGAATTTGGGACTTATTAGCTTTATTGGGTCATATTTGTGCACTCTCTAGAGCCCTAGCTTTACTTTTCAAATTTCAGAATAAAAATCACTAGTCTGCTGTAATCTTTGTTCTGTGGAGAGTGATTGTCTAGGTGATGAATAAATACAAGAAGAGCTGGACTCTGAAGTACCAGGTGAAGTTGACTTTGCCAATGTCTGTGTTTAACTGCAGGATTCCTGAAGTCCTGAAAGGACTTTGCAGAGTGTTGCAGACAGCTGTTGCTGACCTGGCATAGATGCTTCTCTATCTCGCTGTATATAAAATGGGAAATCTGACTGATAGTGTTTGCCCTGTTCTAGAAGGATTGAAAAATGCAGAGGAACTTGAATACCTCCCCCCCCCCCTTTTATAACTTTTCTCAAATGTTTTACAGGGATAGAGTATTTCAAAGTGCTTTAGGGAAAAGTTGGTAACGTAGGGATTAAAGTAACCTGTCTTTTTCTTTTTAAATTCTAGGTGAGGATTTTGAAGATGATGACCTAGTAAACTCAGATGAGGTTATGAAGAAGCCATGTCCAGTGCAGATTGTTCTTGCTCATGAAGATGACCATAACTTTGAGCTTGATGAAGAGGCCTTGGAGCAGATACTGCTACAGGAGCACATTCGGGATCTTAACATAGTCGTGGTGTCTGTGGCAGGAGCTTTTCGGAAAGGAAAATCATTTCTCCTGGACTTTATGCTTAGATATATGTATAACAAGGTAAATAGCATCTTTTAAATCTACCTCAACTAATACAATTTAAATTTTTCCAGCCAACTTATAAAAAGACAGAGGCCAGATTTTTTTTTTTTAAAGATTTATTTATTTTGTATACAGCGTTCTGTCTGCATTTTTTTTTTTTTTTTTTTTTTTTTTTTTGCCTGCAGGCCAGAAGAGGGGACCAGATCTTATTACAGATGGTTGTGAGCCACCATGTGGCTGCTGGAAATTGAACTCAGGACCTCTGGACGAGCAGCCAGTGTTCTTTACCACTGAGCCATCTCTCCAGCCTCCCCCTCCCTAGAATAGATTTTTAATTTCTAGCTACGTCTCAAATATCCGAGTATACTCTCAAAGATCACTGAGTTATTGTGAAACCCCATCTTTGTTATTTCTTTATACGTTTTCCTTTTTGGCCACATACGATGTGTGAAGTAGACAAATAGAGACCTTTGTAAAAGTATCTGTATTCCTCAGATTGTTACTTGTAGTGATACAATTCAGTTCTTTAGAGTGGCTTCCATTGTTGTCTGAGCCTCTTCTCTTCCTGTAAGTCAAATATACTATAATACTATAGTTTTGCTTGTTTGTTTTGAAGAGTATGTATGCTGTTCCTTGAATTGCCATATTTGTGGCTGATCTTTTCATAAGAGGCCTTCCTACATCTAGGACTGCTATGTACCCTTCCTTCCTTTAATGGTTTAGGCATTTTTATTAATAATGGTTTTTAGTTGTGTGTAGTTTTTTATTTATTTTATTTTATTTGCTAGTTTACTCTCAGGAGACCCCTCCCCCCTCGATTGCATATCTCTAGCTTCTACCAAAATAATTTTAGTAGGCATGTTTGGGTAGGTGCATTTCCCTCCTACACATTCTCGCTTTTAGATGGTATGAGACTTTTTATTTTTTGTCTCCCTGCCTTTGACTTTCATCCCTGAAGAAAAGTAGAGGGAGATGATTCACTTTAATCAGAATGCTTTTCTAACAGCTAAACGCTGAGCAGAGGGAAGCAGAAGCAAGAAGGTTGTAATGGGACATTTTGGAGTAGGACACTAAGGTGGTTTTGCTTTACAGGTGTCTTTGACATTCAGAAGGTACATAAAGATGCTAGAAATAGCACTTAACTGAATTATATAATTATCTAAACACCTGTCTGACTGCTTACTTTATAGTGCATCTGTCTTGAAATAAGAAAGGAACTAAATATTCTCATTGGTTTTTCTAGGAAGCATTGCAGTAAAATCTTTTCATTGGAATCTCTTCAGGTGTTCTTAAATGTACCTTTCTATCAGGAATGTAGTTCATATCAGTTAGTGAACAGTATTTTATGGTGTTTAGCCAGTTAAGAAAGCTGTTTATTTAGTTTTCCATTTAAGGTTTTTTTTTCTGAATTACTGAACTGTATGAATAGTGACATAGTACTGTTTTGTTTCTTAAATCTGTTCATTTCAAGTCAATAAAGATCTTCTATAGTGTGATGTTCTCTAATTCCTTAAATTAACTTTTTTTGTAGTATACCTCTGTGAACTTCAAATACCTTTGATTCTAGATAGGTCAGAGATAGTAAGTGGAGTATTGGGATGGGAAGGAAACTTAGATTACTTGTCTAGAAATAATAAAAGGTTTCTTCCTAGGTAACGTTTCTGTGCCTCTGGGTAATCAGTGATGTTCACAGGGGAGAAACAGCTCTCATTTATGTGTTCAGAATCACAGGGCTAAACTTTCCCTTTACTGCAGGAGGTTCTGTAGTTACAGAATGCTCGAGTTAGGTTACATACCTACTTAGTGGCTTCTAAGTTGAAGTAGCTTTCTTAACTGTCAGTTGGAAGGTTTCATGTATAGTGGAATGCAGGGTAGAAGTCGCCTTCTTTTATTAACCAGAAATTGCATTAGACAGTCTCTGATTTTTTTTTTTATTTTGTTGATAACATACCAATTTAGTGGTAGGTCATGCTTCTCCTATGAAATGTAGGTAAAGGAGACATGACAGTCACTTTAATGTGTAGTGAGTTATAGAAGGGGAAATTAAATCATGCAACCAAAGTCAAAATTGGTGGTGGTAATAGGAAATGGTTGATTCCCCCTTCAGATTATGTATATACTCTGATGTTGTATAGAATTTTAATTTCTGTTTCTACTGATAGTTCAGATAAATACATTTTCCTTAAAATTTAAGTATGATTTACGAACTGAAAGATAAATCTACAGTGTATAGCTTGATGAAACTTTGTATATGTATGTACACCTTCATGACCACTATCCCAAAGTAAAACTATTCTGAGCCTCTTCCCATCTGTTCCTTTCTAGATTTGAATGAAATCGTGCTGTAGGGAACTATTGCCTTATTTCAGTAACTTTGTAAGTGTCGGATGCATTCATACTTCTGCATGCAGCAATATAACTCATTCTCGGTGTTTCACAACATGATTAAAATATACTTTACTTATTACCTGTTGGTGGATATTTGACTTACTTTGACCTTAATAATTTTTAGTCTGCTGCCTGTATGAATCACCTCCTTTGAAAATGAAGTAGGTTATCTTAATGTTAGTGTCTCCTCTCTTCTGCAAATGCAAATGAAGGAGATTAGATGCTGATGTTAAGTGGGCTCTGGGCTATTTTCTTCCCTTCCCTTAGATTTTGATTTTAAAGCTAGAATTAATTTTCCAGCCTTCTATATGTTTTTATATAGATAGCCTAAATTAGTGTGAGTGATTTCAGCTAGCATAATATTGTTACATATTGCTGAAGTTAAAGAAGTTAGGAATGGATGAGATAGAGAAATTTACAGAACATTGATGGCCTTAGTATAGTGTTTTAAGTGGGGCTCCTTTGATTGCAAATCATGAAGTGCTGGAATACGTTCTTTCATTGTAGCATTTGAGATACCTTTTCACCTTTAAGCTTCAGAATATATGTACTGTCTTTTTGGGTAATATAAAAATAATGATACCTGTGTTATGTGGCATTTTAATTTTGGATGTCTGAAAACCAGGTGTGAAATTTCAGAGATTTAGGGTTTTGGTGTGAAGTTTTTGTTAATCTAGCTAGAAGGAGGCCTCTAGCTGTGGGACTGTGTGCTTTAATTTTCTTAACTCTCTTCCATTGTCTTGGGTTTCCTTAAAACTCCACTTTTTGTTTGCAGAGTGGTTTTATTTTTTTATTTCACTGTCTCCTCTGTGGTTCAGAAGATTTTTAATTTCACACAATCCCAGTTGTCTGTCCTTAGTTTTCTTTCCCATCATTAGAATTTTTATGATGATTATATTGAGTCTGATGATTATATTGGTTTTTCACTATCTTATGCTAATGACTGAGCAGGATCTTTGTCTCCTAATGTCATCTTAATTTCTTCCTCCAGTGTTTAAAAGTTTTTACTATAGAGGTAATTTTACTTCTTTGATTTTATTTATTTTTAAGTATTTTTTTTTGAAGTTGTTGTCTTCGTGATTGCTTCTCAGCATATTTGTCATTGTATGAAAAGCTGCTTATGTTGATTTTTGCTCCAGGCTACTTTGCTGAAGGTGTTCATCAGTCCTAAGAGCTTTCTGGTAGTCTTCAGGATCTTCCATGTATAAGAACATGTTATCTACAAATGGAAATAAATTGACTTCTTCCTTTTCATCTTGCCCCTTTCTCTTACTGATTTGGTTAACTGATCAAGGGCTGTATTGAATAAGAATGAAGGTAGGGGGACACACTTGTCCAATTTTGATTTTAGAAGAAATGTTTTGAGTTTTTCCTAATTTAGTATAATATTGTCTGCAGGTTTGTTTTATGTGGGCTTTATTATACTGGAGTTTTTCTATTTCTAGGTTCTTTGAGACCTTACCATGAAGAGATGTAGATCTTTGTCAACTGCCTTTTCTGTACCTTTTGACATGATGAGGACAATGACTGGCTATATCTTTCACTAATTTTTTAAAATTTTATTTTTATTTTTTTTGAGATAGGGTCTTGCTATCTACCCTAGCCTAACCTTGAATGTTCATTGATTCTCCTGTTCCAGTCTCCTCAGTGTGGGGTCCTTCACTTCTCATCCCTTACCTACTCCTTACCCTAGACAAGAGGATAGAGGGGGCTGAAATTGGCTAACTGTGCCTTCCCAGTTCCACATAAATCTCTGTTAGGTTAGTCTGCCCCCAGGGCAGGCCTTTGTCACAAGGACTATTCTGGGTGTGTGTAATTGAAAACCATCGTTTTCCTCCTAGTGAATTTAAAAATGACTGTTTTCTTCCAACTGTCCCTGAGAACTTTGGAGTTTTCCAAGCAAAGCCTATACAAGATGGTGTCTGCCTCCAGGCTTCCCAATTCAGTCTAGTCTGCTCCTGCCAGGGAACTCTGCTATGGGCAGTTCTTGGCCTCTCAGGTTTTGAGGTGGTATTTTGCTTGTAAACTCTTTTTTTGTTTGTTTGTTTGTTCAAGGAAAAATGTCATGATTTTGTGTTTGACATATTTTCTTGTAAGGACTTGTAAAGATTTCAGTTTTTACAAATGAGGCTGAAACTGAAAGTCCATTGCAGGATGGAAGTGAAATTGCCATGTCATATGTCAGACGACAACTCAGTAACTGGGACTGTCTCCCCTTTCATTCTAGCAGCCCTTGGGGCACTCCCCCCCCCCCCCCCCCCCCCAGTGCGACCCATAGCGTCACTGTGTTAACCCTTTTCAAGTGTACAGTTCAGTGGCATTAAGTTCAGTCACATTGTAGCAATTGCCATCTTCTTTCTGGTTTGAAGGTTAGAGACTTGAAGGTACTGACCTATTTCCCCGCTTGTAGAAACCATACAGTGTTTGTATTTGCTTTGTGTCTGGTTTACTTGACTTAGTTGAGTGTCTTCATGGTCTCAGGAACTTTCCAAGATGAGCTTTAAAAACAGACTGACTTAAATTCCTCTTTAGAATGTAATCAAGCCATTAGAATAATTGTCTTGTGTCCTGAGTTTGTGACCAGAGTCATTCATATACTTTTTATTTGTCCAGCCCCAGAATAGAGGAGTGTTGGACATCGGACGGTTTGGGTGCACGGGTAACAAGCGTATTAAACTGTTTGGAATGTTCCTAATTTCTCCCGTAGTCCCTGGGAAATACTGCCCTATAGCAGGTGAATAAAGTGTGCACATTCCTCCATGTTCTGTCTGCTACTTGGGCTTTGTAGATTAAGGTTTGATTATTTCCGTGGGAAATGCTTGTAGTGAGGGAACAACTTCCTTCCACCTACTTTGTCTTTTCACTGCTGAGTGTGATGACTTAGGGCTCTTAGATTCCAGCCTCACTGTCATGAAAGGAGTTAGCTTGCTGGCGAAAAGAAACTGGGGTGCTGTGAAGTTCACCTAGCTGCTGCTCTGCTTTGTTACGTTTCATAGGAGAGATAGGAATTTCTTACTCTTTAGGTAGAGTTTGTTGTTGATAAATTGTATTATACAGGTCAGTCTTGGATTAGAACTGTATTGTTTGTTTGAGGACACTTAAAGTCCAGATGACTGTAGGTTGCCTTTTGCAGCTGAGATTCACTGGAAAGATCTTGTTTCTTCCCTTAAGGAACAAGGTTGGGAATTAGGGTTTTGAAACAGTAGCAAATGGTACCAGATTAGTGGTTTTTGAGTCCCTACGTTTGCTTTTAATAAGTTTTGGGATAAAATGGGGTCTGCTAAAAGCACCGCAGCTTCTAAAACCTACTAGAATGCTTTGTGGGCAAGAATGTTTTGTTCATTTAGAGAACTCTAGATTTATAACTGGTCGAAGATTGGTAAATATTTGTTGTCCATGTTGGTCCGTGGTGGTGCACACCTTTCATCCCAGTACTTGGGACGGATAGGCAGGTGGATCTCTGAGTTCGAGGCCAGCCTGTTCTACAAAGTGAGTTCCAGGACAGCCAGAGTTGTTACACAGAGAAACCCTGTCTTGAAAAAAAAAAAAAAAAAGCCTTCAGTGTTCAGTATATTAGAGTAATAGTAGATTTTATGTGTTTGAGAATTTGGTTATCTAGGATTCCTGATGTACTTTTCTTTTTTACTAGAAAGTTAATTTAGCATTTAAAAAGTAATTGCCATAGAGTGAACTAAGAAGAAATTATACATAGTGATAAATTTCTGTGATACACTAATTCATTTTAGTTTCTTTGAAGATGGGGGTTTATAAGCATATTATAGGTCTATGATTTTTGTCAACTTTTAAAATTTATTTTTACTGTCTTTTTCCTTATTTCTAGAAATAGAAAATCACATTCCTTTTATACTCGATACCCATATTCCAAAGAAAGCATATTGAATTTTACAAGTAAATTTTTTATTCTTTTAATATTCTTAGTGCTTTCTTATAAGCCAGGCTGAATGAAACAAAACTTCAGTTTTCATGAACTTGTGTTCACATATAGGAGATAGAGAAACTAGATAACATATTGAATAAAAACATTCTCTGAGAACAGAGTCTTTTTATCTGTGTAGGTTGGACATTGTGGGAAAGAACCTATCTGATACCAGATCCTTTAACATTGTGGGGTATGAACAATAATTTCTTACATACGACATTTTATTCCTTCGCAATGCCAAAGTTTTTGAGTCTAGGCAGGAGAAGGTATAGATGTGCTAAACAATGTGTGTGTGTGTGTGTGTGTGTGTGTGTGTGTGTGTGTGTAGGGTTTATCTGATTGTTTTGATGTGTTAGAGGCAGGAAGGTATGTGTATTGCTTGTGTTGGGATCTGTGGAATATTGAGAGCATAGATTGGGAAAGTGAAACATGCGCTGTTTGACAGCAGATCTCTAGATGACCTTATGGGTATGTGGAAGCCATAGATAGCATTTCAGGAGACAGAGACATTTCTTGTGAAGATAAATGACATGGAAAAAGTGAATACACAGGGTCCAGTTGGAATATCTGAACTGTTTCTAACCCTGTGAAGGGTGCTTTGTGAAACACAAGTCCAGAGAATAGTTGTGTGGTGTAGTGTCCTTGTAACCAGCAGGAATGAGGGACCAAGTTAGAGTATCGAGAAGTGAGGGCAGCGAGTGGGTGCAAGAGAATTTTATAATATTGGGAATGGAGTATTGTGGGATAGCAATAGACGGATTCAAGTTCAAGGCTGTGTTTTCTCAATAGATGCTGTTTAGGTGTTGTGTTTGTCTACCTTAAATGTGCCTTCGTAAATTACAACATTCCTCATTGATCTTGTCTTAAATATATCTCTCCCCCCATTTTGTGTTTTGTAATCCATTTTGGATTAGAGATTCAAGTTTCTTAGAAATATTTCTGAGCTGGGGAGTGGTAGCCCACACCACCTACACCTTTAATTCCAGCACCGAGAGGCAGAGGCAGGAGAATCTTTGAGTTTGAGGCCAGCCTCGTTTACAGAACTAGTTCCAGGACAGCCAGGACGATACAGAGAAACCTTGTTTTGGTGGAGAAGATTTCTGAAACAAAGAATATTTTTCTTTGAAATAAATAAAGGACTTAAAAATATGGGCATCTTGACATATGGCCGAGTTAGCCATTTACATTACATATTTGACAACTCAGCATGTTACATTGTGGTATACTAACTTTGTATCTATAATGTTTATTTAGGGTGGTGGACATTAAACCTAGGCAAGGCCTTATGTATATAGGCAAGTGCTCTCTCCTTGGACTATACCCCAGTTCCATACTATATGATTATAGTAGTTGTAGCCCTGTGACTTGAGTTAAAAGATATTACCTGCACACCCCCCCCTTACCCACCGATCGCACCCCCACCTAAATTTCCAACCCCTAGATATTTTATCACAGAAAAGTTCTCAAACACACTTCAAAATAAAGAGAATAGTATTATGAACCCCAAAGTACCCATAGACGCTTGGTGGTATTGCTGTATCTTATTCCTTTGTATGTGTACTAAGCATTTCATCACTACTGTTTAGGCATCTAATAGATAAACACTCAGTTATATTATTCTTGCACACAAAATGTCTTTTTTGGTGCTCTTCCTGTTTTCTTTTTTAAAATTATAATTTGTATTTACCTGTTTGTTTTCTAAAGAGAGAAAGAAGGCATGGAGTGGGATGGGTAAAGAGGTGGAGAGGATCTGGGAGATTGGGGAGGAGAAACCATAGTCAGAATATAGTGTATGAAAAAAATACTTTAAATAAAAGAAAAATGCTTATGCCCATTTAATGCTATCTCATAGGGAGGAGGATTTGGGTTCAGTATCTGTTTCATAAAAAGACTACCCCCGTCCCCACTTAACCAGATTGCTAGAATCAGGTTCCAGACAAGTCTTGGTTATTTTTAAAGGACAGCCCCAGCAGTGTGAAGTGTTTTGTTTATACTATTCTAGGAGAGGGCTACTCTTTTGACAGTCCTGCTGTCTGGAACTTGGTTTTACTGTTCTGTACAAGATATTAAAATAGCTAGTTCCTGTATTTTATGATCTTTAAACATAGAAGAGCTTCCCCAAAGGGGAGGAGTGGGTGTGTGTAGTCCCATGCACGTAGAAGTCAAGCGTGAGGTCTTGGACAGTGTGACAAGGCTGACTGGAGGAGACTAGTGCTCTGATAGGGCCGAACGGTGTGCGTGGTGCTGGACACAGCCTCCTCCTCTGCTAAATGTGGGATGGGCGGCTTCAAAGTTTGACAGTTCCTAATTTTGGTGTGTTTATTTTACATCTATCTTTGGTTTTAACAGGATTCTCAAAGTTGGATTGGTGGAAACAATGAACCGTTGACTGGCTTTACGTGGCGAGGTGGTTGTGAAAGAGAAACAACAGGCATACAAGTTTGGAATGAAGTATTTGTGATTGACAGACCTAATGGAACAAAAGTAAATTTCTACTTATACTTTGCTATTTTCTCCTGTATTTTTTCAAGAGCAATTTTCTGGCATTAAAATTTACAACAACACAAAACTATTAATAAGTAGTCTGGTACTTTAATGATTAGTGTGTTAAGATGTATAATATATACTTTTCTTGATTTAATTATTGTTTTGAACTTTTATCGTTTAATGTGTGGGGTCTTTTTTAGGTGTCTTTGGTGATCATTGTACTAAGTATTTTAAACTTTCAAATTCCTAGGTGGCTGTGCTGCTAATGGATACCCAGGGTGCCTTTGATAGCCAATCAACGATTAAAGACTGTGCAACAGTGTTTGCTCTGAGCACTATGACCAGCTCTGTCCAGGTGAGAGTGTGTGCTGGAATCCGTTCGTTCAGTCCTACCTTTGTGCAACATCTGCAGATGCTTTTGATTGAAGAAAAATGGATTAGAAGTTAAAGAGAGCTAGCTGTCCTTCTTATTCATTATTTACATCTGTGTGTGCTTTTCTGGCTCGGTGTAAAATTAAATACTTCACATAGATATAAAGGGTGAAGTGGGTCATCTTTGCTTTACTTTTTATCATAGAACCAATATTTTATTAGTTCTTTACTAATAGAGAAGTATTTTGATTATACTTACTCCGTTTCCCCAACTCATCCCAGATCCTCCCCACCTCCTTACCATCTGTGTCTTCATTTCAAAAAAAAAAATCAACAACCCATTATGTCCAGTTTATGCTACTGGTTTATTGGGTATGTGTTCATTCACTGCAGTTTCAGATAGCAACGCAGTTTTCCGTTTGGTATCTTTGACTATTCTTAATTATTTGAACTAAAATAAATAAAAATATTAAGAATTAATATTTATTTAGGTTTTTCGAGACAGGGTTTCTCTGTGTAGCCCTAGGTGTCCTGGAATACACTCTGTAGACCAGACTGGCCTTGAATTCATAAGAGCTCTGCCTGCCTCTGCCTTCCCAGTATAGGATTAAAGTTGTGCACCAACACCCAGCAAGAATTAATATTTAATTTAGAAACCCAAGTGATAGTTAGGAATTTATAGCACTGGTTTGGTTTAGAAAGGGATATTGCTGTGTGTGTTGCTCACACTCTAATTGTACTTGTTCTACCAAGTTCTCCTTTCTTCAAGATAGATTATCTCTGTATAATCTAGAGTGTTGACATACATCATTTTGTATTTTTTTTTTGGGGGGGGGTTAATTGTGGTTGGTAACTTCCTGGCTCAAAAATTAATGATTGGAGTATGGTCTCTCAAATCCTACTGGCAGTAGTATGTCAGGAAGGGTATTTGAGTACGACAAGATATTGTCCTTAAAATCTCTTAGTTCATAGGCAAGACTGTCAAAACATCTTAAAACTTTTGTGATGATTTCTAGTAAGGTCTGAAACATAAGCAGTCTCATCTCATCCCCTTCTCCTTCTTCCATAACTTGAAGCACCTGAGTGGGAAGAAGACTGGGTGCAAAGAGAGGTTCTTTTCAGCCTAGTTCTGTTACAGCTATACTTTGTTGCTATTCTTTTGTTTATATAACTTTCTGATGGTAGGAGATTTGGTTTTGGACAACCTATACTACTTAGACATTTTTTTGACTATAGAATGAGGCTTTTACTTAACTTGCCTATCTCATGTATAGTTGTTGTATATTATAAGAGATAATGCATATAATTATATGTTTGTGTGTGTATATATATATATGTGTGTGTGTGTGTGTAACACACACACATACATACTTTTGTGAGGGGTGATGGTAATGGGATTCAATTTGGTGTTGTGTATGCCAGCAAACACTCTTGTACTGAGCCACAGTCTCAGCCTTCAGTATATTGCTTTCTACAAACTGTGGAAGGTTGTTTTCTTCTCTCAATAAGTTGTGGCTTCTAGGGATGGTGGTGTGTTCTGTAACCTCAACACTTGGAGAGCCGAGTTAGGAACTCTTGAGCTACATAACAAGAGTAAGTTAGTTAGAGGTCATCCTGGTCTACACAACAAGAGATGAAAACATTGTTTTCTTTTGGACTGGTAGATGGATGGCAAATTGATCTTGTTTACTTTTTCAACAGATTCTTAGGACTTATTGGGTACAAGGCAGTATACTAAGACCCAATGATCTAAGATAACAGAAACCAATCTCTCTTTGTTCTTATCGCTTATAGTAAAGGATCTACACTCATGTTCTAAAAGTTTAGGCCCACATGGATAAGAATAAATTGGTTTTGTTAGCTTTTTATATTTTAGACACCTTGTTGGGATTAACCAGTGACTAAGCATTCCCTTTTGGTGTTTACTCATGACTCTCAAGTTTGCCTAGATTATCACTTATCTGTTGTTAGAACAAATTGTTCTCTGTGGAGCAACTGTGTTTACTGATACTGAGTTCTGCCTTAGAGGTTGTGTTTGCAGGTATCACTGCAGTGCCAGCCCTGGCTCTTTTCTAACACTGTGTCATTAAAGGACTGGGCCTAGCAAACCCTCTCCATTTGTTCTGAGTACACAGAACAGCCACTGTGAGTTCTGCTCCATGTCTTGGAAAGCCTCCAAAAAATTCTTAAAAAGGGCAACAGTGCCACCTACTGTTCCTTTTACTTGTTTGCATGGCCTGGTAATGTCAGTTCAAGTAAAAGAGACCGTGTTGTGTGAGGATGAATGCCAATAATTGCAGCACTCTGAAATCTTAGAACACGGGAGGCAAAGGCAGGAGAATTATAAAAGTTTGAGGTTAGTCTGGGGTAAGTAGGGAAATCCTTTTTAAAAACCCAAAACAGAACCAATCAAACAACAAAAAACTCAGAGCCTGCTGAATGAATATATATTCTGTACCATGGAGAACTGTGTTTTTCTAAAAGTTTTGCCCCTTGCATTCACCATCTTAGACAATGAGTGAAGCAGTCTTTACCTTCACATCCCCTCACTGTGTAGTTCAGGGTGGCCTTGGATGCCATCTGATTCTTTTGCCCCTACCTCCCAAAGGTCGGAATTTCAGGAGTGCATCATCACACCTGTTTCAGCTTATCTTTTTAAAGTGACCATGACAAAAAAAGAGATCAAGAAAGAGGAAAAAGGCCTGCAGGCCCCCGTCACTGAGCTGTCCTTTCCCAGCCTGCTCTGCGCCCGTTGCAGGTAGCACACACCACCCTCCTTCATCACTGTATTCAACTCCATGAATAAACTGTGTGCTTCCTCAAAAAAAATAAAGAAAGTAACAAAAAAAAAAAACGAAAAAAAAAAGAAAGAAAGAGGAAAAGAAAGTGCATATACTCGTAGGCCATGAATATGTGTGTCTTTATTAGTTTACTGCTTCCTTTGTAATGAGAAATGCTTTCCATGTAGCACTGGTTAAATAGTGGCTAAGTGATTAATTTGTACTGTCTAAAATAACCCTTCTAATTATAAGGGATTTTATATTCATTAAAACACGGATAAAAGCAGAATAAATTTTGTTTTAACAGGTATATAATTTATCCCAGAATATTCAAGAAGATGATCTTCAACACTTACAAGTATGTCTTAGAGAATATATGCCAGAAATATTAAAACTTGATTCTTTCTTTATTGTAAATTCATGTTTAAAAATCTATAATATTTTTGAATTTCTATGGCTTTAAAGAAATGGTTAATTGCTTAACTAGAGGACATTTCTGATAAACTTGATTCATTAGCCAGTGAAATGCCTGACTTTCAGATAAGGATAAAGACTCTGACAGTCTACTATCTTGATGTGGATAGTTTGATTAACATCTACTACTTTGATATAGACCATGTTATAAATAACTTCTTTCAGGCTCTTTGGCAGCATTATTTTAAATAACTTGGTTTGATAGTTATTTACAGAGTATGGAAGACTTGCAATGGAAGAGATCTACCAGAAGCCGTTTCAGGTAAGAAAGTGTTTTAGCACTTTAAAGACATACCGGTGAGAAGTTTCAAGTCCCAAGTGCATTATAGACTCATTTTGTACCAGAGTCAAAGCAAACTGTTGACATACATCATCAGCTTCCTAATAGTTGAAGCCCAACAGGACAGGAAACAATAACTAGATTAGTTTGCAATACTTCTACTTGGCAGAGAGATGCTTCTCTTAGTTGATGTTATTTAATTCCAGAATTTAAGACAGTAGAGAATTTACAGTATGTCAGATTTATTTTACACCTGATAATAAACTATTAGAAAGTGTTATGTTTTCCTTTTTGTGATGTATTATAAGTTGAAGTTAAGTCTCCTTGCTATCCTTCATTTCATATGGAAAAGTTTGGGTGGTTTGTTTGTTTATTTATTTATTTTGAGGCAGCTAGTTTGCAAGCTGGTATTCGTATTGTTGACTGCAGTGAGTGGAAGAGAATGATTGCTGTGTTTGCCTGTCTGGGTGAGGAATTTATCCTGTGTGACAGCTTTGATAGTTATTATAATGTTAGTGGACTTGCATTAATTTTGCCTCTTTTTTTTAATCTGGCACTTCTGTTTTAGACAATCACTTTTTTGAAACTATTGAGCAGATCATGGCTTCTTTTTGTATAGATGGGTGAAATATACTATATTTGGATTATATCAGTTTTTCTAATGTAGAATAATTTATCCACCTAGGAGACATTTGACAGTTTCTGGGAATATTTTTGATTGTCACAGTTTTGAGGGAGGGGAGGTTAATGTTCCTGACATGTAACGTAGAGGCAAGAAACTTTACTATAACTCAAAGGGCAGCCCTGTACAAGTACTTATCTGGGTCAAATTGTTAGTAGTGCCAAGAATTTAAATACTGTATGGATAAAACATTTGTGAAAATGGTCTCTTTAGCACCAAATCTACCAGAAATTGTTCTAGTTATATATAGTTATATATATTGATTTAAAATTATGATGATATACCTATGTTCATTTTGGCTTTGAGTATCATTGCTTTATGTGTAGTGAGGTTCTCAAGTAGAGATGGTTAGTTGGTGCAAGGGTTGGGAAGTTGCTTTAGTGAGCTATTGATTATAAATATGAAGAGTATACTAATCATTTGGCTACTCTAACCCTTTTTATTTTTAAATTTTTGGTGCTGGGGATTGGACACAGGACCTCATGAATGACATTTATGTGTTCTACTCACTGAGCTACTCATTGTAGAGGTTATTTGTAGAAGGAAGTTTTCAGTAAACTTAGAATTTTGTAAGAAGTGATTTGTATTTTTTTCCTATATGTAGACCTTAATGTTTTTGATTCGAGATTGGAGTTATCCTTATGAACATTCATATGGTTTGGAAGGTGGAAAACAATTCCTTGAAAAGAGATTGCAGGTAAGCTCCATTTTTCTGGAGAAGAAAGAATATGCCACAGGCCAGGCAAAGGGGAGGGTTTCCTGGACTGCCCCGATTCTGCGGGTTACTGTCCCGCATGTGAATAAATGAACTGTCCTAGCATAGTCAGATGTGTAAGTGGCGAAGGTTTTCCAAAGAAGATACTCTTAAATAAAAACAATTATTCCTCTTGCAGGTGAACTACCACCTACCAGTAAATAGTCAAAGACTGATGTTTTTGAAAAGTGACTTATTATTATTATTATTACAGTTATTATTGTGGTGCCTCATGACATGTGTCTGAGTATGAATATGTCATAGCATATGTGTGGAGGTCAGAAGACAACTTTGAAATTTTAGATTCTCTCCTACCTTTACATAAATTCTTGATATCGTACTGAAGTCATCAGGCTTGCGTGGCAACCACTTTACCTGCTAAGTCACCTGGACCTTTTTAAAAGAACCCAGATATCCTCATTCATATGCACTGTGTTTTGTGAAAGCATTCCTGGAAAATGACCTCATGAAAGGTCATATTTTTTTATCCCTGAAGGCACGTTCATGTGAGAATACTATGTCTCCACATCCAGAAGACAGTGGCGAGAAATCCTTTTATTATGTGCTTATTATAACAAAATAAAAATATTTTATTATGTATGATAAAATGATAATTATTTTATTATTCACAATAAAATGATATATAATAAAATGATAATTATTTTATTATTATGATCCTTTATTATCAGAAGATTTTTGTCTGATTATGACATGACACATTTCATTTCTCACCTGCATCCAAATAGTTGGGACACAGTATGGTTTTTTTATTTCTTTTTTTTTTTTTTTGGTTTTTCGAGACAGGGTTTCTCTGTGGTTTTGGAGCCTGTCCTGGCACTAGCTCTTGTAGACCAGGCTGGCCTCGAACTCACAGAGATCCGCCTGCCTCTGCCTCCCGAGTGCTGGAATTAAAGGCGTGCGCCACCACCGCCCGGCTTTGGTTTTTTTATTTCTAAAATGAGATTAATGCCTTATTCTTAGATTATTTGGAAGGCTTTTTCAGACCTGTGATGTAATTTATTAGGTTTATTTTTTTCTGGTTATTTAGAAGAAAGCAACACATAATGTATTAGTCATGCTAGCTAAACTCTGAAGTATATAATTCAAAGACAGGGTCTTACAGTGATACATCCAATCACAAAATTCTCATATTTTAAGTGTTCAGCTTGATAAGTATATAATGAACCTAAATGTGTAACTGTGCCCAAAAGCATCCAGTTCCATAATGGTTGCCCACCTTAAAACCTGTCTATCACTCTTGACAGATTATATGAAGTACAAAAAGGCTCACAGAGTTCTGGCTGCCTCTGCCTCCCTAGTGCTGGGATTAGAGTGTTTTTTCCCAGTATTTTTGTTCCTGAGAGTAAACTATGTTGTTAATGATAGTTTAGTAGTTCATTCATGTTACTGTACAGTATTTTTTTTTTATTTTTTGGTTTTTCGAGACAGGGTTTCTCTGTGGTTTTGGAGCCTGTCCTGGAACTAGCTCTTGTAGACCAGGCTGGTCTCAAACTCACAGAGATCCGCCTGCCTCTGCCTCCCGAGTGCTGGGATTAAAGGCGTGCGCCACCACCGCCCGGCAACTGTACAGTATTATGCTAATAACAACTGTCTTTCATTCTGTTGATGGAGATTTAGATAGTTTCCAGATTTTAGTCATGACTAGTGCATGTTTTGTTAGAATGGTCTTTCAGAAGAATATTTTGGAGAATGCATGAATCTAAGCATGCAGGCTGGGAGTAGTGGCATACACTTAAAATCCAGCACTGAGGAGGCAGAGGCAGGTGGATCTCTGAGTTCAAGGCCAGCTTGGTCTATGTTCCAGGCCAGCCAGAGTTACATAGTGAGACTCTGTCTAAAAAAAAATTCCAAATGTAGACATTTACTTTCTTTCACGGGTTGGTAAGATGGTTCATCATGTAAAGACACTTGCTACTAAACCCAGTGACCTCAGTTCCATCTCCCAGGACCCATATGGTAGAAGGAGAGAACAGTCCTTGAAGGTGACCTCAGCATGTGTGCCTTAGCATGTTTGTGCTCTCCCCATCCCTATATGCAGGCACACACACAATAAAGAAATAAATATAGCTGGGCAGCAGTGGTGCACGCTTTTAATTCTAGCACTCAGGAGGCAGAGGCAAACAGATCTCTGTGAGTCCGAGGCCAACTTGGTCTACAAGAGGTAGTTCCAGGACCAAAGCTATACAGAAAAACCCTGTCTTGAGCGATTATATATTATATATTCTAATATATAATAAAAGTGTTTAAAAAAGAATGTTCTTAAGAAAATGCATAGCAGTCTCTTTTCAAAGATCTAGTGACTGACAAATAATAGATAATAATGTAGAGAAAGCACTAAAATTCTTACTATAAGTTTGTTTGGAGTGCTTTAAAAAAATTCTGTATAAGTTTGTATGCCTGTCTTGGTATGTGCCCATGAGTACGGTGCACTCTGAGTCCAGAAGTGTTGGATGCCCCTGGAGTTGAAGTTACAGGCAGTTGTGAACTGCCTAATGTGTGTGCTGGGATCCAAACTGGTTCTCTGCAGTAGCAGTGTATGCTTTTGACTGTTGAGAATCATTCCAGCCCCTACACTGGAGCTTTTCGGCTGTACTTTGTATTTTGCTCAGTGGCTAGCTTTTAATTTTAGGCAAATTAATATTTTGCATTTTTTGGCTTTAGTTTAGTGTTATTTTGACATAAGCATTTTAAAGACAAATTCTTTATTAGTTTCTAAGTCATAATCACAACTTGTTATTCAAGTGTTAGATATTGTAATTAATTGTTTATTTGTTTTGGAACATCAGTTTTCTCTCAGAAAAATGCCCTTCAAGTTGATAAAAATGACCAGATTACACTTTTAGTATTAGTAAACCACCACTCTAGAATAACCTGAGTGTAGTGGGTATATGTGTGGGTATGTATGTGTTTCCCTTTTAAAATTAAATAAAAAAAAAAAATCTCTCTACTACTTTCCTCGTTATTCTTCTTCCAGGTAAAGCAGAACCAGCATGAGGAGCTGCAGAATGTCAGGAAGCACATCCACAACTGTTTCTCAAATCTGGGTTGCTTCCTTTTACCACATCCTGGTCTTAAAGTCGCGACGAATCCTAGTTTTGATGGACGACTGAAAGGTGGGAATGCCCATGCATGCTAAAACGTTTTATTACTGGTTAGCAGCTGAAAGTTTGTATTATATTTGTTTTTATTTTTGAGATTATAATGTGATTGCAACATTTCTCCCTTCCCTCTTCTCCTTCAAATCCTACCATATAACCATCCTTGCTCTCTTTCAAATTCATTTCCTTTTTTTATTAATTGTTGTTACATGTATATGTATACATTTCTATTTCTAAATATAACTGCTTAGTCTGTATAATGTTAACTCATATGTATGAGTTATATCTGTATTCAGGGCTGACCATTTGGTATGGGATAAGCACTTGGTTTGCTCTTCCTTGGGGAAGACTAGTTTGCCTACTCTCAGCATTCCCTAGTTGCCAATAAACGTCTCCTTACATTTCCTATGCTAGTGATAGCTGTGTTGTTGCAGTGCTCTGCCACTCTTTAGCACACTGATTAGCCCGTTTGATAATGTCCTGTGAGGACTTGTGTCCTGAAACTTCTAAAGACAGAACACTGCACAGCTTCCTCTGATTGCAGTCCGCTAAAAATGTTTCACTGATTGAATTAATGGACTCAGGTGTGTGTGTGTGTGTGTGTGTGTGTGTGTGTGTGTGTGAGAGAGAGAGAGAGAGAGAGAGAGAGAGAGAGAGAGATTTCCAGATTATTCTAAGTGTGATGGCAAAGGGGTGAGATTGATACGATTTACACTATAGCTAGAAAAAAAACAGTCTAACGCAGAAATCTAATATAGAATCCTATATGATTTGCTCTTTCAAAAGTATTTTTAATCATTGTGCAATTTGTGTTGAAAGTCCACCATTTGAGCTGGAAGAATTGTAGGGAAATGGAAGGAATGGGATAGAAGAGTAATAAGCATTTTTTTTCCTGTAGGAGACTTGGCACATTTATATGAACTCTTTAGAAAAAAGGAATATGCTTAAGTAATAGATGCTATCTACTTTTCATAAACAAAATTTCATGATTTTGTCAGTGAGGACTTGTTTGTGTTTTTAGACTAATGTGTTGGCTAATTTCGTATCCATCAGATATCGATGAAGACTTTAAACGGGAGCTTCGAAATCTGGTTCCATTGCTGCTTGCTCCTGAAAATCTGGTTGAGAAGGAGATAAGTGGATCTAAAGTTACTTGTAGAGATCTTGTCGAGTATTTTAAGGTAGGTGAACACTCAACTAAACAGCTCTGTCTGAAAAAGAAATGTAGTTACCTTTTGTCTTTCGAGACAGGGTTTCTGTGTAGTTTGGATCCTGTCCTGGAACTAGCACTTGTAGACCAGGCTGGCCTTTAACTCACAGAGATCCACCTGCCTCTGCCTCCCGAGTTCTGGCATTAAAGGCGTGCGCCACCACCCGGCTTGTAATTAACTTTTAAAATATCTTCATGTACAAGAAATATACTTTCTTTCAAGTAAAAAAATGTTTATTTTTCTGCCTTGCATTCATTATGTCAACATTAAGGATGTAGTAGGGTCTGGAGAGATAGTTCAGTTGTTGAGAGTACTTACATAATCATGAGGACCAGAGTTCTTATCCTAGACACCATGTAGTGAGCACATATATTTGTGACCAGCCTCGAGAGGGCGGAAGATAGGAGGATGGATCGGGCTTGCTGGCTACCAACTCACTGAGAAAATATGAGCCCCAAGTTTAGAGGAAGACCATGAATCAGGAATGTTGGGGCATGAAAGGAGAACATGTAACTCCTTCTGGTCTCTGCCTGTTAGCATAAATTGTGTGTATACACCCAGACTCACATGCACATAAGCACTCCCAGATGGAAGTGTTTGTACGTGGGACACATACAGACATAAGGAAATACATAAATTTTTTTTTTTTTTTTTTTTTTTTTTTTGGTTTTTCAAGACAGGGTTTCTCTGTGGCTTTGGAGCCTGTCCTGGAACTAGCTCTGTAGATCAGGCTGGTCTCGAACTCACAGAGATCCGCCTTCCTCTGCCTCCCGAGTGCTGGGATTAAAGGCGTGCGCCACCATTGCCCGGCTCATAAATTTTTTTTTAAAGGTTACAGTAAGCTGTGTCTTCTATTTAGTGATACTATTTGTTCTCAGAATTATCCTTCCTTTTTCTGCATCTCTGATCTGCAGCACAGCTCTGCCATTTTGAGTGATACCTGGAATTGGCTGCATGTTTCTATATCCCAAATTCTCACAAAAATCTTCCCTTAGAGTTCTGAGAATTAATAAGAATAACTAAAAGTATCTATAAAGGTTTTTGAGTCTAAACAAACTATTTGTGGAGATTTTTTTCCTGTTAGAACAAGTTGATCACACAAAGTTGTACTAGTAATAGTTATAGTTAGATAGGTGGGAAATACAGCTAATGAGGTTAATGTATTTTGCTTACTTGTAGATGACATCACTTTCATGCAATCATTGTTTTGTTATGAAATAAGTCTGAGTTGGTGGAAAGTTGAGGTGAAGACTCCTGTTTGAATGCCATAAACTTGTTCTCCTTACTCTTTTTCCTCCTCTTTTATTGTTTGAGAATTTTATGTTTGTTTATAATGTGTGTTGATAAATCCATGCTCCATTTCCTCACTACAGTTCATCCCCTCTCCCCACCCCACTTTTCCCATGACACCTCATGTACTTTGACTACAAATTACAGTTTCTTTTTCCTTTTAGTTAAAATATTTAAAGTAAAATGAAGGGTTAAAGTGTTTTCTAACATATTTATTTGAAACATTGACAGTAGGAGAGATTTCTTATAAAATGAATACCTTTTACATACAAAACTCTTAAATATGAGATACAGCTTTAGACAATTTGTAATTATATTTTGAAATATTTCTGTATTTTATTTGGCAACATTCCCATGTGATAATATGTAGAACAGGATTAACTTTGTTCTACTGAGAACATGAGTTTTAAGGCCTAGAACTTCATTTTGATGGGGGCGAACTATTGTTTAATATTGTTGGGGACAGAGTATCAAATTGTATTTTACATCAATACACTGAATATTCTATCTTTTAGGCATACATTAAAATATATCAAGGAGAGGAACTACCACATCCAAAGTCTATGCTTCAGGTAGGATTAAGAAAGTGTGTGGGGTGGTTTGTATGTTTGAGGGGAATTATAATCATGACTTTATAGGGATACAGAAAATGGAGGGGCATGAACTTTGTTGCATAGGAATAAATTATATATACTAAAGATAACCTTCGAACTCTTAAGGTTTGTATAAGGTTTTTGTTTTGTAACTGCAGTTGGCAGGCCCTGAGCATGTATTGACTATTAGAAATGTGAGCCTTGCTACTTTATCTTCAGTAAAAGTATACAAAAATTCTCTTGCATAAGATGGTTTAATATAGGCCTCTCTGAGCTAAATGCTTTTGCCCTGAGCCCTTGATGAAGGGATGTTTCTTGATACAAGAATTAGTTTCATTTGCTGGTAATGAGCTGCTGCTTGTGCAAGTAGACTTTTTCTGTGTGTATATGTTCTTCTGGGGCACTGATATTTTTACACACTTTCTATATTTTAAAATTTACCACCTTGGACAATTCTTCAGTTTTATAGTGGATTAACAGTATTTATATTAAAGGTCATGCAAGAAAAAAATAACAACAAAAAAGAAAAAAAACCAACCTAGCTTTTTTTGACTCTTGTGTGAATCTGGTTGTTCATACAAGGACTTTTTGACTCCCGGAGACTCAGCACATTTTGGTATTACATCTGTTTATCTCTGTCAATTTCTTTAGTACCTGTGATATATCATCTACAAAACTGTTTTAGTACAAACCCTCTCAAATTGCAGTGAGACAGGGAGTCCTAGTAAATCTGTTTCATATCTTTTCTATTGATACACACTTTCAAAGGAAAGTAAAATAGAGGTTGATATTTTTCTGTTCATTTTCAGAATTATTTGTTGTATATAATCTATTATGTTAGTAGGAATTTATAGTCAAGGGGTACTTTTTCCCCACAGTAATGGTATATTTAATTTTATATTTTAGGCAACAGCTGAGGCTAATAACCTTGCTGCAGTAGCAGGAGCAAGAGACCTCTATTGTAAAAGTATGGAGCAGGTTTGTAACTAAAGTTCAGCTTTATGATAGTTAAGAGTAGAAGATGTTTCATATTTAAAGTAATTGAACTAATTTGTACTCCTTACATGTTGTCATGCTATATTATCCTGTAATTGTCTTTTTGTTATCTCTGCTGGAATAAACTGTTAGAAAGAAAGTCACATGACTTGCTAGTGTGCAGGAAACATGAATTCTACTGTTGTGTTTTCTGATTTTTAATTCAGAATGCTACTATTAGCCCAACTAGCCCATGATGGAAGTAACATTAGCTTAAGACCGGTAGCAGTGTCTGCACTAAGCTTGCTTACTCTGAAATACTGTGTCATGTGTTCTTTGTGCTGCTGTGGGGCACTGGTGGGCAGTGTGAACACCGTGTCTTCAGTTGTGGGGCTTCAGTCACATGGGGAAGATTACTTGATTGAAGCAGTTAAACGCAGAAGAATAGCATTACTTGTGATTACCTGTGAGTTACTATGCCCAGGTTTAAAACTGAGTCATGTAGGTGGTTTAATTTTATGAGACTAAAATATATGCGCAGGGAATGCCTTTCAAGTGTTATTTCTAGCATGTAATCTCTCATTTTAATTGGGCTTGTCCAGGTATGTGGTGGTGATAAGCCTTACATTGCACCTTCAGATTTGGAGCGAAAACACCTGGATCTCAAGGAAGTGGCACTCAAGCAGTTTCGTTCTGTGAAAAAAATGGGTGGAGATGAATTTTGCCGTCGTTATCAGGACCAGCTTGAAGCTGAAATTGAAGAAACCTATGCAAATTTTATAAAGCACAATGATGGCAAAAATATCTTCTATGCTGCTCGTACCCCTGCCACGCTGTTTGCAGTCATGTTTGCTATGTATATAATCTCAGGACTGACGGGCTTCATTGGCCTAAGCTCTCTAGCCGTCATATGTAACCTTGTCATGGGGCTAGCACTGACGTCCCTTTGTACATGGGCATATGTTAAGTACTCTGGGGAGTTCAGAGAAATCGGAACAATGATTGATCAGATTGCTGAAACACTCTGGGAACAGGTTGGTATCTATCTTTTGGTTTTGCAGTGACTAATCTCACTTGTATGTGATTTCCAGCTCTCACTGTTATTTGTACATCTACTTTTCCTTTACATAAGGAATGATAAGAGGATGGGCTCTTTGTGTGTGTGTATTTGATTTTGTTTTAAATGTAGAATCCAATTTAGTTAAAGGCTTGTTTCTAAATTCATAATTATAGTTGACTTTGGTTAGTTTCAATCTGCAATTTTTTGGTTGATTCTTAGTTGTAAGTCTGATTATGCCAGGCAGTGGGCATGACTGGATGGACGAACACTTTTCTTTGAGAAAAGAAAATGCTGTCAATGAGCAATTTTAAAGTCAGGGAAAGAAGTTTGAAGTACAGTCAGTGCTATAGGGAGGGAAAGAAGTTTGAAGTACAGTCAGTGCTATAGGGAGGAAAATTAAATTTAACCAATGTTAACAAGAAACAATATAGGAGAAATATAGGGTGTTAGGTCTTCATATCTTCTGTGAAGATGGTGACAGTTTATTGCAGCACTCCAAGGAATAACCACAGAGATGGAGCGCACAGTTGTCGTCTTTCACATAGGCCAGTGGGAGTTCTTGCTCAGCAATTCTCTTTTAAGGAAAGTTGTTTTATGTATTTCCCCCGGTTGCTTGAATATAGGTATTTCTCTTGTTGTTAAATGATCCTCACTAAGTACCAAGGAGCAGAATGAAAGCTGAGGCTATTACAGATGAACAATAGGAGAGGTGTTCTCTATGTTGTTTAGGGTCAGTGAGGCCCTTGGGTTAGGATGTGCAGGTTCACATTTGTTTTGGCTTTCAGTTAAAGACTGAAGGAGTCCAAACATTTTTTCTGAAGAAAGAGGATTAGCTACTGACTTTCCTTATAATAATACATTATGACTGTATAAACCAATGCTTCTCAACTGCTCTAATGCTGTGTGTGGCCCTTTTACACAGTTCCTCATGTTGTGCTGACCCCCACCCATAAACAACTTTCATTACTACTTCAAACTGTAATTTTGCTCCTGTTACAAATTGTAATGTAAATAGCTTTGGAGATAGAGGTTTGCAAAGGGGGTTCTGACCACTGGTATAAACTAACCCACTTTATTAACTTGAACTTTTCTTTTTCAGAAATTACTCTAATAGATCTCTTTTGGAGTTTGTGTTTGGACATTTTGTTTAGTTCAAAATTTTGTCTCTTAAAATCAATCTTACCGCTTTGTAATCTCTTGATATTTTCTAATAGAAGATGGATTAAGAATTATCACCACATCACTGCTTTAAAAATAATCTACTTTCAATTTTTGAACCAGTACCATTCTTCTGCCACCTGGATTTCATAATTGTGCAGTATCTTTTCAGACATTTTCTGTTGACACTGATTCTAGGACTTCAGAGGTCCGTTTTTATAGAGCAGTGTCACAGGGGACTCTCCAGTGTGTCGGGTTATTTTCAGTGTAGATAGAGAGGTAAGAGGCACCTAGTCAGAGAAGACTTGAGCTGTGTTCAAAAGGCCTTGTTTAAACTTTCTTTGCATTTCTCTTTTCCTTTGCTTCAGAGGAGTCCCAGGAAGGTGAGAAACCTACAAAGTCTGAAATTCTTCTAGTCTTTAACTCTAGCTTCAAGGCACTTTGAGTCACTTTCCTAACACATCACTCCGTGTTTTAGGTGTTTTCCAAACTGTTTGAAGTTACTAGACGTCGAATGGTTCATCGTGCTCTTTCATCAGCACAGCGACAGAGACTGTCATCCAACAATAACAAGAAGAAAAATTAGACAGTATTTTTAACTTTTTTCTCTATCTGAAGTGTTCACACTTATACATGTAGGACAATAAGCAGGACCGTCTGGGCCGGTCTGCATAAATGCTGTATACATACCAGATTTGATGCTGCATATAGGGTATGGATTGCACATCCATCTCGTAGGATTTGTAAGTGGTTTGAGTAAGAGGAAAGAAATTTTGTTGCATTATAAAGTGTCTAACTGCATTGCTTGTAGCACCATAACTTTTGTTGTTGTTGTTTTGTTTTGTTTTGTTTTGTTTTGGGAGAAGCATCCTTTTATTTCGCACATTCCTGGTTATTTTTGTCATTGATTTGAATTGAAATTTTTATATCTGTTTTCTATGTACTCTTTTTTTACCTCATGTTTTTGTTTGTTTTGCACATTTCTCATACCACAGGTATTGAAGCCCCTGGGTGATAATTTGATGGAGGAAAACATAAGGCAGTCTGTAACAAACTCTATCAAAGCAGGCCTGACTGACCAGGTGTCTCATCATGCCCGATTAAAGACAGACTGACAGTTCATCTCCTCATGGACTCCACTCTTTTTTTCATGCTTGCTGTACAATGAGAACTCAAATAAAAATAAACCAAAGTTTACAATCAACTGTAGAAGTAGTTTAGTATAACTGGCTTCACAGATGGCTGCCACAGAGTGTGAACATTGTTTGTTGGTTTCCAGCGCCTTCTGGTGTCTCCTTAGACCTGGAGACGACTGAGGAGCATTAGTTATCATGCACATTTGTGCCATGTTTTACTCTTTTCTTTTTACTGAATCTAATGTTAGTGAAATTTGTCTTATGTAAAAGGATATTTCAGGGAAATATTTTAAGAAATCTATTTAGAGTCTCTTTAATATAGTGTCCCATTGAAATTTTCATTTTTAGAGAATTTATGAATCACTGTATCAAGAATCAGATCAGAATGACAATGAAGCCTTTATTGAGCCACTACATGAAAAGTGTATATTGCTTTACTGCCTTCAATGCCAGTATTACATAAATGCATGTATCAGAAACGTCACAGAAATCACATGACAACTCTATAGCTGAGAAGGTAATTCTGAGGTGTACATTTGTCTTGCCTTTTAAAATTTGTAAACCTGCCCTGAAAGGAGATGCATATCTGGGAAACTTAACTGTCTTTTCGCAGTTTAGCCTTCATGTACATAAAATATGCCATTAATTTTATTGGGGGAGAAATTCCATCCAAAAATGTTGCCTACAGCTATGAGTTAAGAGTGTCTGTACAGTGTGTAGTTTTTATTTTCTAAAAATCACAGGTAGGGCATGTATATGAATTATAAATATATAAATACAATTTTGTATTAAAAGTTTTTGTAGTTTATGGCAAAATCTGGTTCTGTGGTAGGCTAAGTACAGTCCCTGTGAAAGGAATGTTTGTGGCTCATGTCAGTGTGTGAATGCATAGACAATTTGAAGTTTTGATATATTTGTGATATTTATCTTCCTTGAGCACTGCAATCTCACCCCAAGGGAATTCAATGGGAATGTTTTATTGTGACTTGTCCTCTGTTGCATTTTAAAGTTATTTCCTGTAATTTATTTTCAGTACATAATTAAAAATTTGTTGTATATATAAAATGAAGCTTGCGATTCTTTTTAAAGGAATTCCTCATGCCTATATCTCACCATATAACTCATATTTGTTCATGCTGAAAAGAGTGTGGGTTAGGGCACAACCCAGTTAGAGCGTAAGGTATTGTACTTCTAAGCTAAGCTTGTGAAAGGTGTTTTTCTGTGTCTGTACATGTAAGGAACATTGGTTGTGAGAGCCTCTATGGGGATTTCTTTTTCTCGCTCATCTCTACCGACTCCCATTTTGTGAGTGTGCGTGTGTGAGAGAGAGGGGGGAGAGAGGGAGAGAGAATGAATGTGTATGTTATGTAAAGCTACCTTTTTTCAATACTTTATAGCCTCCTTTGCAAAGACCTGTTAAAACACCCCTGTTTGGTTTTTAAGTGAGGAGAATTTGAATGGTGAGTTGCATGCACGAAAGGTTTGGTTGGTCTATCTTCCCCCGACTCCATTCCAGTCCTGGTTTTAGATGATGTGTTTGTTTTCATCTGTAGTAACTGCTGCCCACTCATCCGATCTTACACAGAAGAGTCATCTAACACGGCTCTCTTTATTTCTCTGACCACTTTGTTTTATGAATGCTGTAAATTGTCTTTATGAATAAAAAATAAAAAGTTCGTTATATACTAGCAATTGTTCTGAAATTAAAAACTTATACTCTTTCTTTTCAAGTTAAGTCCAGACCAGTGGAATTTAGTATTTCTTGCTAAAAACAGTGTTTTCCCTCAAAAATTCTCTGCAAGACTCCTAGAAAGCACTTTAGTGTCATCTGGAAGGTTCTGGACATTGTTAAGCAAGAAGTAGTGAAAACGAAAAACAAGATGGATTGAAGACAAAACATTGAAATAACAACTTCAATATTGGTGTATTTTCTGTGGTACATTTTTTCATAGTGTTACAAAATATGGTTTTCTTTTTATTTTAAAGATGGTTTTTCTCAATTATATGATTTATCTTTTTAAGACATCTTTTGTGAAAGGACAACCATTGGGACTCTGCTGTTGAACATGTCTTATTTTTCATGAATATAGATTGCTAGTCATCCTTGCTTCTATACAACATTTGTAAAATTAAATAGTGCTATTTCGTGTTTGAGTCTTATTTTTCTTTTTTAGAAAAAGTTTTTTTCTTTAATTATTTGTGTATCTGTGTGTGAGTATGTGCTCCAGAGTGCAGGTGCCCACGGAGGCCAGAAGATTGGATCCCTTTGAACTGGAGTGGTTGTGCGTTGCTCAGGATGGGTGCTGGGAATGGATCAGATCCTCTGGAAGAGCAACAAGTGTTGTTTTCAAGCACTGAGCATGGCTTTATTTTCCTTTTAGAACTGAGCCAGGCAGGCTACAGGCTTCACTTCTGACAGCTTGTTTTTGTTACATTGCATTATTATGTGCTTTCAAAAGTTTGATTTTAGCTTGGTTAAGGATCTTTCAAGACGTGCATTAAAGTGAGGGGCTGTTCAGTTTTGGTTCCTTGGACATATATCTACAATGGGGCTGGACATGGCTATGGGGTTAGTGTTTGCTGTGTAAGCATTAGGGGCAGAGTCTGGATTCCCAGAACCTACCTAAAGCTGAAATTCCAGGGCTCCTATGGCAAGAATGGTGGGCAGAGACCTGAGTTTGCCTGCAAGTTAAGGCCAGATAGCCTGGTGTATAGATACACTTGAGACCCTACCTCAAGGTAGAAGGCAAGAAGGACTCAACGTTGCAGGGAGAGGGGCCTGCTTGTTCGTCCTGGCCGCGTGGCTAGCTTAGTCCCGAAATAACCACACAGAAATGATATTAATTAAATCACTGTTTGGCCCATTAGTTCTAGCCTCTTATGGCTAACTCTCACATCTTGTTTTAACCCATTTTTATTAATCTGTATATTGCCACGTGGCAGTGGCCTACCGGGAAAGATTTGGCACGTCTGTCTCTGGCGGCTCCATGGCTGCTCTCTCACTCTGCTTTCTTCCTCCCAGATTTCAGTTCTGTCTTCTCCACCCACCTAAGTTATGCTCTATCAAGGGCCCAAAGCAGTTTTCTTTATTAATCAACCAATACAAGCAACACAGAAAGAAGGACCTCCTACACCACTCATACCTGAGCCAGCATTCACACACAAAAGCACACATATACTACACATGCCATTCACAATCCCCTCTCCTCCCTCAAATGGCCTTTAAGATACCAATTTTGTGTTTTAGCCAGGTAGTAAATTGGCATTTAATTCACTGCAAGTGTGATGTATATCCATTGCACACTTTCAGGCATTGGCTTGAAATTTCGTAACTTGAGTTCTTTCCTGGTGGCCCGACTGAGCTGATGTGTGCATACTGGTGTTTTTCCATTCCTGGGTTGATTAAAATAATCTTGAAGAGTTGACACCGTGTTCTGCCAGTCATCTTTTTCTCTTTGGCTATACAAGCCAAATGACTGTCTTGCTTGGATTCTGTGTGCAGCCTCTCCCTGTAAGAGATGGCATTGAGAAATTAACTTGTACTGCAAGCCAAGTTGGAGCATGGAATTGCTGCTTCCCTAGGGACTAATTTGGATATACATACATTTTGTTGGGTTTGGGCAAAGGAGTGAAGGTGTCCTTAACATACTACAACAAAATATAAAATCTATGCTTTCTGCAGTGTGACTTTAGGTGCTCTTCAAAGATCTAGATCAGAAGTCTCTAAAGATACATCTAAAAAAAAAAAGAGGGCTAGGGAAGGGTAGCATATTACTAGCTCAATAAAACATATCCACAAGGCTTGCAAAGTCCAAGGGAATTCACTCCATCAAAAAAGTCAGCAGGTTGTGGTCGTGCACACTTGATCTTAGTTCTCTGGGGGCACAAGATCTTGGATCTAGGCCAGTACTCAAAAGACTCAAGGCAGGAAACTTGAAAATTCAGTGCTAGCCTGGGCTACCTAGTGACATCCAGTCTCAAAAACAAGAAATCTGAATCAGGATGAGGCTAACAGTCCTAGCTAGATACATGCTGTTTGGACACATGCAAATTACTAATAGGTAGGTTGAAGATTTTGCTAATACAAAGTGTGTGTGTGTGTGTGTGTGTTGTAATAGGAGTGGCAGGGCTGCGTCCCCAGCACCCCGGCCGCCTGGCTAGCTTATGCCCTGAAATAACACACAAATTGTATTCATTTAAACACTGCTTGGCCCATTTCTATCTAGCCTCTTCTAGGCTAATTCTCACATATTAATTTAGCCCATTTCTAATCATCTGTGTAGCACCGCTAGGTGCACTTACCGGGAAGATTCTAGCCTACGTCCATCCTGGGTCGGAGCTTCATCGCGTGTGCCTCAGAGAGCAGAGCTATTGCCTCTGTTCTGGAGAGGGGAGCATGGTGTCTCTGAGCTCACTTCCTCTTCCTCCCAGCATTCTGTTCTGTTTACTCCTCCCACCTATGTTTTAACCTATCAGGGCTAAGCAGTTTCTTTATTGCTTAACCAGTGAAATCAACAGATTGATATATGACACTCCCACATCAGTGTGTGTGTGTGTGTGGTCATCTTACATGGATGGGTACCTTGTCAGCATGTATGTGTCTAACAGCTACAGTTGGTTTTATTTGACATGAAACCAGGATTAGGCTATACACGATAGATTCTCATATAAAATGGACTTTTTGTTTTTGAGGTAGGGTCTCACTATGTAGTTCTGGATGACCTGAAATTCACTATGTAGACCAGGCTGACCTCCACTTCCTAGCTACCTGCCTCTGTTTCCTGAATGCTGAGGTTTAAAGTGTGTGCCACCATACATGGCCCAAGAGTTGTGTTCTCGTGATAGCTTTCCTTATCACAGACTGGGGAGGAGAACAAATTAGTGATTAGTGATCTGTGGAAGGTATAGAAAATTACCCTCTGACCTGCTGATGGCTTGGTCAGCTGAATAATATACTTCTTGAAACTTGCCTATAGCGTAGCTTTTCCTAATTTGTTTGTAATGTTCTCTTCTTCCCTCTTCCACCCACCCTCCCACCAGTGGTGCTGAGGTTGGGACTCGGGACCAAATGCTCTACTATTGAGCTACATCCTCAGCTTTGTGAGTTAAGAACAATTTTCTCTGACATGTTTTATGTAATTACTAGGCAGCATAGACATCCATAAATCTGTCGTCACTAACAGAAAGGGTGACCACCTAAACGGGCTTGGCTTAGTCTCCCAGAGCATGAAGATTGCATGACATCTGTGATCCAGGGTCAGAGTTAGAACTGTTTCTCAGCATGCCGCTCTCAAGCCTTGTGAACCTGCACAAATGCTACTGGACAGCTGAGTCTCAGTTTCCTCAACTTTAAGTAGGAGCCATATTCACTTTTCAGTTGTCTTAGGGTGTGGAAGATACCCTTCTAGATTAAGTTCCTAGATTAAGAGGAAATGGAATGAATCCTCTTTTATTTTTTGTCTTACAGTATCAAATATTTATACATAGTAAATGCTCAGAATATTTCCTGTTAGCCCACTTTTTTTTATTTTATTTTTTTGAGACAGGGTTTCTCTGTGTACCTTTGGCTGTCCTGGAACTCACTCTGTAGACCCTGTTGGCCGCCTACCTCTGCCTTCCGAGTGCTGGGATTAAAGGTGTGCGCCAACACGCCTTGCTCCCACTTATTTTATTACATGATTTCATACATATATGATGTACTTTGACCATAGACCCCCATTATCTTCTCCCGTTCCCACCCATTTTCTTCCCAACAAGTCTCCCTTGTGTTTTAATGTTCAGATCTGCCCTCTCCCCCCCACGACAGGGTTTCTCTGTGTAGCCCTGGCTGTCCTAGAACTCACTCAGTAGACCAGGCTGGCCTCAAACTCAGAGATCCATCTGTCTCTGCCTCCTGAGTGTTGGGATTAAAGGTGCATGCCACCACTACCCCCCTCAGAAGACTTTTACGTGGGCTAAAATAGTTGACCTCATTCTCCTGCCTACCTTATTTTCTCTTTATAACTCTAACAGCCCCTGTGGATGAGCTAGCTGGGTGTTTGGTAACTGTTGGCTCCTAGATACCA